GCCCAACCAATGTACATGTTTTTATTTATGCTCAATTTCAAAACAAGTTCTTGCAACTGATTATTTCAATAACATTTAAGTGTGCATATGTAATGGTGTGGAAATGGTTACTTCCTTGTGTAGGACTTGAACTCTGGCTTGACAGAAACCCAGAAACCATAGCCACTTTGGCATTGTTCCTCATTTTAGTATATATAAGCATGAAGTGTAAGCACCAAGATTTTAAAGGACAAAGTACATATTAGATCTGCATTGAGATACATATATGCCTTATGATAATGTACATCCTTTCAATGGCCATTAAATATAATGTGAAAGGTGGCATCTTTTGGATTCCGTAGACTCCATATTTATGTCCCAAATTTGGACGGGGTCCCAATATTGAAACTTATAAATGGCATTATTACATGTCAAAGAAGAAATTCGGACAACGCTATGCCTATTTCAACGTGTTTCTATGAAAATTTGATTTGTGCATGTCAGATGATTTTTCTTGCCAAAATGTTATATTCTTCGAAAAGTTAAAGAGGCACTGAACAGGGTGAATTAGATTGACGATGCTAATGTCAGTAAACATTTGCATGCAATGATTGCCCTAGACAGAGCTATTATTACACTTTGGTTTTCAGGAAATGGGTTCAAATATTATCAGAAAACATATGTATAAAAAATCACACACACTTCTTATTTAATCACATGTATTTTCATAATTACAATTCCACAGAAGAATAATTTCTTAGAACCTTTTAAAGATCCTGTATGTTGTAATTGAGGTTGTATACCACACTTAAGTGAAATTATGTATATGTATGAAATTATGCTAATAATACAATTTTCAAACTTCGAAGAATATGTAAATATGTAGCGCAAATATTTGTACATATTATATGTAATCAGTAAAATTTATGCATTCAATTCTTATTGAAAAATTTGACTTAGACTTTATAGAAAATAATAAATTTTTATTCCCTTCCTTTACATGTATTTACATGAAATGTTAAATTCTGTAATATCTTTATAAATAATGCTTTTTGGAACTTACAATATTGATAAATCTTAATTTGAGCATCATATTTATGATAATAAAACCATAAAAAAAAATGTGTTACAGGATCTTTAATGAAAATAATGTTGTTTTTTTGTTCACTTATAGTCCATTATTTATTGACGTGACATTTTAACTAGATTGAAATTCACAATACTTGGACACAATTCTGAACCAGACCAATTTTCTTTTAAAGCAAGCATTTTTAGAAATAATTGACCCCCAGATATAACCTAGACATGTCTTGATAAATAAATTAATTTGTTTAAAGTAACCACATAATTATTACCTAGAGAATTTTGACCACTTAGTACTCTCCTCTTATTCTAATTAATTGACCTATCAATTACCTGATGAAATTGATCATGATGACAGTCATTTAAAGTGTCTGAGAATTCACAAAACATATCTTATAAAAGTGATATAAATCTTATTTCTTGATAGTAATATTTCTTGAAATCTTGCTGTGAAATGAGCAGGAAATAAATGTTCATTCAGAGAAGTAAAGTTTATTTGAATAGTTGAATGTAAGTGAGAATTTGTGGCCAAATGTAGGAATTCTAGATCACCACTATTTCATCACATTTTGATAAAAGTCCATGTGCATATTACATTTACCCAGAATTAAGACTACTTGGGTTCTTCCCAGGTAATCAAACTTTTACAGTTACAGCTTAGAAAATAAGCACAATAGGTTGACCAATCTATTGTGACAGGTTGTGCACTGTGAATCTATAACAGTAAAAGACTGTTTGTACCTATGGATTATCTGGGTCTATAAAGAAACTCATGAAAGGTAAACATAATCTTAATTCATGTTAAGAGAACAAAAGAGAACAATAGACCTGGGGCCATAGCCCTATATACAGAAAGTACACCATGCAACAAAACAAATGGCCCTGACCCATGTCTATTTCAAATGGCACTTCAGATGTGTAACATATTTCACAAGAAAAAAAGGACCAATGCTAAGTGTTATATTGAAACTGAACTGTTTCCAGTGACATCAGTCTTAACTTGCTTTAAAACCTGTCATAAGTACAGATGTAAAACTTATTCCAATCCAGGTTAGGTGATGTAAAAATGTTTTATGTTTCCCTTATTGGTATGGAATTTTGTTTGGACAACCAAAACATATTGCATGTTTATAATTATTTTAGACTTTTGCAACTCTAGGTCTAACATAGGAAAGTTATTGAAAATGTTATCTCATTAAACCCTGAACCCTGATTGCCCTCACTGCTGTGGGTGTCAATACCTACTGGGACTTTGGCTTCTTTAATGTGAGGAAGCTATCAAGCTAGCTTAACAGAGGTTCTACTCAGTTTGTGCCTGAAAAAATGCAGACAGTACCCGGATGTCTCCCTCCACCAGTAAATCTACAGATTCACCAAATAACTTATAGTGTTTTGGTGTGACATATGCCCCTGAAAGGTAGCTTTGACATTGTGTAAAAAAAATTCAGGGGGAAAAATAAAATTACTATGCACAACTAGACATGGTGACAAACAATCTTTTGAAGTCAAGTCCCCCCCCCAGCAGATTTGGTGATGAAGCGAAGACAAGCTTATTTATTTTCTTGAAAATTGACCTTTAAGGGGCCATAACTTAGCCAACAAAAAAATCAAGCAGAAAATCAAGAGAGTATGCACAATTAGTTTCAATGCGAAGTTTCAATGAAACCCCCCCCCCGAGCTCTTTTGGTGATGAAGCACAGACCAGCTTATTCATTTACTTGAAAATTAACCATTAATTCAGGGGCCATAACTGTGACAAAAAAATGAAGACACTACACACAACTCAACATGGTAACAAACAATCCTGTGAAATTTCACTGAAATCCCCCATTGGTTTCAGTGATGAAGCGCAGACAAGCTTATTTTACTCAAAAATTGACCATTAACCCATTACCACATGAGCATTTTGTGAAAAATTGCCAAAAATCACTATTTTCTGTTGATTTTTTTTTTCAAAGTGCTGCAACATCTAAATGGATTGAGACAGAATCAAAGACCTTTCAGCGTTGGTTACACGTTACCTTATGATCAACTTGAGATAATTTTTAGCCTCTCACAAGTCCTAAATTTCCGATGAGGGGGGCTGCCTTCAAATCCCTGAACTAAAGTGGGCACATCCCCCTCTGGCACCTCTTTGATGTATCTTTTTGAAAAGGGTCAGCACCGAAAAACTGATCACCTTTTTAAACAACATTTCTAAAACAAAAACAAGCGTGGCAGTCAAAATAAGGCATTTTTACTCCACGTGAGGCTTCAAAAAGGGAGAGGGGTGGTGAAAAAGGCATTAAAAGGCGTGTATATGTGGGAATGATTTAATTAAGGGGACATAACTGTGCCAAAGAAATTCAAGCGGAAAATCAAGAGAGTATGCACAACTAGCCTTGGTGACAAACAATCCTGTGAAGTTTCAATGAAAACCCCACAAGCAGTTTTGGAGATGAAGGGCAAACCAGATTATTGCACGGATGGATAGTGCATTTACTAAATGCCGCCCATAACAAAATAACACTTACCCTGCTATAACAAATCAAAGTGCTGCAGCACTGAATGCGACAGACATGCAACCGGAGAGACATTAAGGCTTTTTTAGAAAAAAAAAACAATAACACAAAAGATATAACAGAGAAAATTTGTTCCATACAAGTTCGAGATTTGTAGAGCAATATTTTTTATGTGTCCCAATCTGATATAATTCAGATTTTCTACTTTCAAGCAGAACAAGTCCAAATTTTTAAATACAGAATGAAATTTATGCCTAAAAACTCTGGTCAAACTTGTAAATCAGTGTTCTTATCGATTTATTCCAAGAAATGATATGTAAATAGAAAAAAAAATGTCAACGAAATATTTCTAAAATAAAACCATGCAAATAAACTTCAAGCATAATACATAATACATGTGAGAATGTTTATTAGAATTGCTTCGTGTTATATCATAGTGGGCATATAGACAATAAAATATAAGTCATTTGTATTTTTATTTCTCTTGGATATGTCTCATTAAAAATATTTTTGGTTAAAATCATCAGCAATTAATGGTGTATTTTTTAGATTTTTTTTCATTTACGTCACTTAAGCACTACAGTGTTTAGTTGTCCCTTTCAATTTCACACTAAATTCCATTTTCAACTTGTTTGCTTCTTACAATTGTATAGAATTTCTTAAAGTATTGCATGTAAACAAAATAAGTATCCGCTGGTTTATTACATGTATAATGTGTACTCGTCCGAAAGTCAGTGCAGATGATGCAGAATCTATTTTTAGAATAGTGTTATCTTCTGGTCGAAGGCTATTATAATCTCATAGCAGATTAACTCATATCGTGACCTAGAAAACTATGTAAACAAAACACAAGAATCGGAAGTAGAACTGATATTATAACTTCCTTCAATAAAGATTACCATGAAAGACTACATGGTGGTAAAGTGTTGAAAAACTCCCTTGTTACATGCATTATTTATAATACTAACCATTGTACAGTAGTCTAATTTATTAATAACTGCTGGATATTCAGCTAAACCCGCGGTATGAGTCACGAAAAGAGTTCTTTTATTAATGCGCGAGTTATTCTAAAGTCACGAAAAACTTTTGATCTATTAATAAAAATGTTTTTCGACAGCGGTAAATAGTTTCAGCAGTTATTTGCATAATTGCGCAATAACACTACGGGGCTACAGCGTTTTTATCAATCAAATACGTTTATATTTTAACTTGGATAACTTAATTTGAAATTGAAAAGGCTAAATATGGAAGTTTTTAAGATATCCCGACGAAGTATGGGAGTTTCATAGGATCAAATTCATGTACTATTTCGTGGGCTGTTATTCGGTTGAGGACACATTGCGCGATTGTAGCAGACGAAATCCCATGTTTAGATGACATAGCTCTGAACGCGCCTGAGGGCACGTCTGTCGCAAAAATGATAAGAAGTTAAGTTACCTGAGATAAAGGAATGGATGTGTATGTTTAGGAAGATAGGCCTGGTACACTAAATCTATTGCCTTCTTTAGTGAGCTAGACTCCACCAGTCTATCTGAAATGTCAAATAAATCAGGATTTATATTTTTATTGTAAAAAAAAAATCAATTTTCATCAATTATTTCATAAACAACAACTGTTTGACTGTTTAAGAAACAACATACAACTAGAAATGTGTCATCATGCCACGGATGCCCCCGCATGCAGCCAAAATTTCAGATGTTATAATATTTAGTTCCAAATTTGTTTGCACAAATTATTTTTTTCATTTTAAGTTCAAAGCCCTTAAAACTTTTCAATGTTAACACAAACCATTTTCATACAATGTTCAAGGCACTGAAATTATTCAGTCTTAACCTTTTGAAAATAGCATATTTCATATTTGTAGCCAAAATAATGGCTACATACATTTCAGTGCTGAAACTGAAAGTTCAAAATTTTTCCAACATTCAAGAAAGATAAGTTTGTCCAAAATCATTGAACCACGACCAAATTCAAACTTAAACTGCTTATTCCTAAGATGTATCTATATTATTTTCAAAGTGAAAGGGACATAACTCTGCCAAAAAATCATCGAACCATGACCAAATTCCAACTTGACCTGCCCATTCCTTTGACATATCCATATGTCAAATTTGAGTTGTTGGGTAGATAATGAACAGAAACTGTAAATTTCATATTATTTTCAAAGTGAAAGGGGCATTACTCTGCCAAAATCATTGAACCATGACCAAATTTGAACTTGGCCTGGGCATTCCAAAAACATATCCATATGTCAAATTTGAGTTGAATGTGTTGTACCGTTGGGGAGATAATAAACAAAACTGAAAATTTCATATTATTTTCAAAGTGAAAGGGGCATAACTCTGCCAAAAATCATTGAACCATGACCAACTTTGAACTTGACCTGCGCATTCCTGTGACATATCCATATGTCAAGTTTGAGTTGAATGTGTTCTACCATTGGGGAGATAATGATCGGAAACTGAAAATTTCATATTATTTTCAAATTGAAAGGGGCATAACTCTGCCAAAAATCATTGAACCATGACCAAATTGGAACTTGACCTGTATTTTCTCAAGACATATCCATATGTCAAATTTGAGTTGAATGTGTTGTACCGTTGGGGAGATAATGAACGGAAACTGAAAATTTCATATTATTTTCAAAGTAAAAGGGGCATAACTCTGCCAAAAATCATCGAACCATGACCAAATTCGAACTTGACCTGTATTTTCTCATGACATATCCATATGTCAAGTTTGAGTTGAATGTGTACAACCATTGGGGAGATAATGAACGGAAACTGAAAATTTCATATTATTTTAAAGTAAAAGGGGCATAACTCTGCCAAAAATCATCGAACTTGACCTGTATTTTCTCATGACATATCCATATGTCAAATTTGAGTTGAATGTGTGCAACCGTTACTAAGATAATGAACGGAAACTGATGATGACGGAATGACAGAATGACGGAAGGACGGAACAGGGTAACACTATATGCCCCGGCCATTACATGGCGGGGGCATAACAAGAACTATCACTGTTGTGGCAACAAATCTCTGATTAAATGTAATATCTAAAAAGTTTAATATCAGAAAGGTTATGGTTCTAAGACACTATTGCAATTCAATGAGGTCTGTCTAGCACAGTAGTTTCATGCCTATACCAGACCTTGTAAAAGCTTTGAGGCTCCAAACAAACTTCACAAAGTTATGGTTATGGAGCACTGTTTGTTTTCTTTGTGAGATCTGTCTAGTTTGCTTTTTTGATATGCTCCAGAAAATAAAAACACAGACAGCTGGACGGATGGCAGGACCGACATGCCAACATTTGGGGTTTTATGACCTTTTTCTTTTATCTTTATATGGCACTTTCTGCATAAACTATTGCAAATTTCCACTTTAACCAACATATTATTATTTTATATGATTACATTCTAGTTCTAAGATTATGGATAGAATATAAACCATTGGATGTTGACCTAGACAGACTTATTCCAGTGCAAAATAAGTTGAACAGGGGGCTTAAAAACACATTTTTATTTCCCTAGTTCTGGACTTAACAGATATGTTAAACTGTATATAAATGTGATAAAATTGATAAATGATATATTCTGTGGACAAAAAGATTTGAATTATGACAAAAAAGCAAGTAGAATATTGATCAAATTTGTCCTGGGACAGCAATCTCTCTTCTATAATATGTAAGATAATACATACTCTATAAACATATATCAAAAATTCTCGTCTGAAAAGGTGATATATAAAAACATTGTATCCCTTGTCAACTTTATACATTTATGATGAACATTTGAGGGTGAAATGACTTGATTTAACTCCACAGAGTGAAGAGTCACAGACATTTTACTTCAAGAGAATTGACTTAATACTTCATTTCTTTTGTTATATATGAGAAATTGTTATGAAGTAACTGTAAAAATACTATGGTGAAGTCCCAGGTGGATGTTAAATTTATTTTATTGACACTATGATCAATGTGCCACCAGTCAATATAAATATTTAAAACTACAACAATGCTTTATGACTCCGTTACTCGCTTTTATTCTTCTGTAATTGAATAACAAGTCCTTTAACAGAACAATATCAAAATCATTTATATATTTTTGTTGAAGGTGACTAAGCAGTCTACAAAGCTGTTAATTTAATGATCAGGCATTCTGTTTGGGAAAACAATACTAACAAGTAACCTTCAAAGTCCAGTGGTTATGGTTATTGATTCTGACTCACTTGCCCCTCACAATTAAGTTTAGAGAGTCCAATTGTTTCATGTCAGGAAGTTATCCAGCTAGCTTGTAAAAGGTAAATGGTTCTACTCCAGTGCCTACATGTGCCTCAGATAATTTATGCACATAAATGCATTAGAGGTTTAACTCTACTAGTAAACGCTGGAAAATTACCACAAGGGTGTCTGGAATAGGTAACCAAAACCGCCTTCTATCCTTCCAACTCTCAGAAAATGTTCCTTTTTTCCTTATCAATCATGGTTAAGAAATTATCATTAATTGACAAAAACTATATCTATATCAAAACAGCAATAATATGGAAGAACCAATCCGAGCCAATGTAAAATTGCACAAGTGTTGGCACAAAGTTTTACCCTGAAACAATGTTTCTACAGTCTAACTTGCCCATGTGACCATGTCTATTAAGCGACTTTTGTCTTAAATTTATAGGAGCTATTTAGATTATCGGAGAGTAATTATTGTATTTTAAATTTCAACTTTTTCTCATTCTTTGTCTTAAGTGACCATTGATTTAAGCGACCATTTTTAGTGTGTCCCTTGTGCAGTCGCTTTATACAATTTTGACTGTATTTCCATTACAATTTCCAATGATGCAAAAACAGTCCTTTGTTAGTTTAGCAGTTTTTTTATGCTGTTTTTAATGCATTTTTTGGCATATCTTGGTTGTCAGTTCATCTGGATAACTAACCAATATTTACCAACTTCTCTGCAAGTGACTCTATACATGATTCAACATGATTTCTGAATCAGTGGTGAGAGACTAAAGTTCACTAATTATCACAGAACAATTTTACCTCAACCTAGACTTCTGGATTACAAATTCAATGTTTTCAATATTGAGCTAAGTTGTCAAACAATGCTTTGTTCTGTTGTATAAAGTTAAAACTTACCATTTTCCTTTTTTTTAGAAACTGGTAAAAATGTTCCTTTCTCCATATAGTTAGACATTAGTCCAGAATTAACTTACTATACATCAACAGCAACATATTCCTTTTTTCACATTTTAGTAACTGTACGCATTGGTGACAAATTTGTAAGTATTATGATTTATAAACAATAAAAGTGTTCCTTTCTCCATACAGTTTGTATTTGTGGCAAATCTATAAGTTACTCATATAACTTATTAAATGTAAAAATGTTTCTTCCCATTGTAGTTAGAATTGGTATCAAATCCATATTTTACTTACAATTCATAAACAGTACAAGTGTTCCTTGCTCAATACAGTTGAGTTAACATTGGTGAGAAATTTGAAATAAACTTACAATTTATAAATAGTAGACATGATGCTTTCTTCAAATTTTAGTAAGCATTGGTGTCAAATCTATGATTCACTTACAATTTATAAACAGAAGGAATGTTCCTCACTCTCCATAATGTTAGCATGAAGTTCACTTACGATTTATAAACAGTAGAAATGTTCCTTTCTTAACATTGTAGTTAGCATTGGTAACAAATCCATGTAATTTATAGGACAACTTCTCATCTGTATGCTCCACTTCTAATAGTTCCCTGAAATAAAAATCATATACAGTTTAATTTTTCTTTGATAAATTAAGTTATCTTTTGTATGCAATATAAACTTGCAAAGTTACTAATGCAAGATAGTTAATTTTTCATGACAGGCAGGTCTCTTTCAGAAAACTTATGTATTTTCCAAAACTGGTCATTGTACATCATAAAATCTTTCTGGCATGGCTAGACATAATCTGAATTTATCCTTGTGTGGATCTTCAACAGTCTCGTAAGCCTAAATTAAATTTATCATGCAAGCAAATATTATGATCTCCGATAGATTAAAGTTAAATGTGCAAATCTATATTTTTATTCTAGCAAATGTGCAAGCGTATATTATGATTCTCCCATTGATTAAAGTCAAATGTGCAAATGTATATCAGGAGTCAGGCATAGAATAAGCTAATGTGCAAGCATATTATTGTAATTTTACCAAAGATTAAAGTTGAATGTGCAAGTGTATATTTTGTTTATCCAAAGGATTAAAGCTAAATGTGCAAGCAAATATTATAATTCTCCAACAGATTAAAGTTAAACTTGGAAGAATATACAGCTGACTCTTGGTAACTCGAATTTCAAGGGACTGGGCTTTTTATTCTGAGAGAAATGGAATTCGATTAACGTGGATCTGCTGCCATTACAGTTACATTCATACATGTATAATTACATGTGCCTGATTGAATGTCCAGATTAGTAAGTTTGTTATTGTTGATAACGGCAATTCTGCCATATTTCTCTGTTGAAATGACAGTTTATCACTTACAACCACAAATTATAAATGAGCAGAAAGATATTAATTATTCAAAATATAATACATGTATATTAACAAAAACATTCGTAGCAATGAAATAAATGCAAATCCAGTTGGTCAATATTCATGGGTAATAATATTAAGCACATGTTTATAATAAGCACTCATGAATTCATTAATATAGAAGCACAATGGCACATTTATTTAAACAACAATATGTCTAAGGAGATATCGTGAAATGGAAGTACATATGAATTTAGTTACCTAACTGTTAAAACCAATTAAGTCTTCATTCCAATTACAGTCACTTTTACGATGTGTTAAAAATACATGATGACCGGCAATTATAATTACTATGAAAAGTGTGAAACAATGTGACAACATCTCACCTTTATGTCGCCAACCTATAACCAGTCGCCAACCTATAACCAGTCGGCTGTTTTCACACTTGACTTATTGAGATGAAAATATGTTTGACTTCAATTAACGGGACCAGAAACACCTTTTGACTATACAGAAGTCTTAGTAAGTCATAATTTGACATAATCGGAGTTTAATTACAAAGATATTAAAAGAGGGAATTTTGTCAGGACTTCAGATATTATTCGACTAACACTGAATTTTGAGTCAGGTAATTTTGATTTATTATGAGTCAACTGTATTATAACTCTTGCACCTATTTAAGTTTAACATGTGACAATATTTCAAATTTTACTACCAAGTTTCTCTATAAGAATGTTATGTCTCTCTACTTTATCTTTTAAAATGAAATGGATGAAACCAGGAAGCTTGGCCAAGTCTTGTTTGTGAATAAATGACAAGCTACTGACTAAAATAGGACACTGAACAGTTACTATTGTCATATTTGATGTGCTATTCACATTAATACTGATCTATGATATAAATCTTGTCATTTTCAAGACAAAGTGGTTTGACAAAATAACAGAAGCAGACAAGATAACAAGCAATGAAAACAATTAGTATATGAGACAATGTTTGATGGCAAAAAATGACAATAATAGTGTCAGTCTGTTACAAAACAAACATATCAAACGTTTCTATGTTAAGATAACAGACCTAGTCTAGAAGGTACGAGGATTAATCAAAAAGTTCTTGGCCCGATGTACTTCCGGAAGTCAGAGAACCCAACTAATGGTCTTACATTTCAATATAAGCACCCTCTTCAATATATGCACTTTGCCCACCTCACTGCATTAACTTGTTTAACCCTTCAAAATAGAACTCTCTATTTTGGTCCTCAAAGAACTCATTGACTGCCTCCATCACACCTTCATTGCTTCCAAAACGTCTACCACGAAGCTTGGTTTTCAGTTTCGGAAATAAGTAAAAGTCGGTGGCCAAGTCCGAAGAATATGGGGAATAGGGAAGACTTTCAAAGCCGCAGTCAATTGCAGAATTGCAGCAGCCATAGCAACTTGGGATGTGTTAGCTGGTGCATTGTTGTGCAGGAGCAGATTGCCTTGAGTCAGACTGCCCCTCCTTTTACGCATGATTTCTTGACGCAGACAATTTGTATGCATAATTTGTACCGTTTATGGTACAACCATGCTCAAGATAGTCAATCATGATTATCCCCTGACTCTCCCAAACAAGAACCGGTTGAACCGGGTGATGCTCCCCGAGACGGTTCTGGACACAGGAAAGTATAAAAAAAATGAACAAAGGGCAAAAACTCCAAAATTAGGCAAAGCAGAGTTATGTTTTTTTGCACTGCACTTCTATTCAATGAGATCTATCTATCTATAAAGTTTCCTGATGATATCAGAGTTATGTCCTGGACCAAAGTCAAAAAGTAAAAATAAACAAAGGGCAATTACTTCAAAATAAGGCAAGGCAGAGTAATGATTCTTAAGCACTGCACCTCCACCCAATGAGACCTATCTATCTACAAAGTTTCATGTTGATATCTCTTATAATTTTAGAGTAATGTCCCGGACAAAGTTCAAAGTGTCAAAATGAACAAAGGGCAATAACTCCAAAAGTAGGCAAGACAGTGTTACAGTTCTTGTGCACTGCAAACTTACTCAATGAGATCTATCTACCTGCAAAGTTTCATGTTGATATCTCTTATACATTTAGAGTTATGTCCCCGACAAAGTTCAAAGTGTAAAAATAAACAAAGGGGGATAATTCAAAAATTAAGCAAGGCAGAGTTAAAGTTCTTGTTCACTGCACACATACTCAATGAGATCTATCTACCTACAAAGTTTTATGTTGATACCTATTATAGTTTTAGAGTTATGTCCTGGACAAAAGTTCAAAGTGTAAAATAAACAAAGGGGGATAATTCAAAAATTAGGCAAGGCAGAGTTACGGTTCTTATGCACTGCACACCTACTCAATGAGATCTATCTACCTACAAAGTTTCATGTTGATACCTCTTATACTTTAAGAGTTATGTCCCGGACAAAGTTCAAAGTGTAAAAATAAACAAAGGGGGATAATTCAAAAATTAGGCAAGGCAGAGTTACGGTTCTTGTGCACTGCACACCTACTCAATGAGATCTATCTACCTACAAAGTTTCATGTTGATACCTCTTATTGTTTCAAAGTTATGTCCCGGACAAGAAAAGGGGACGGACGAACGGAAAGCAGGACGGACGGACAAGGCGGCGACTATACGCTCCCCCGAAATTTTTCGGGGAGCATAAAAATTGAAGCCATCATCTTCCCTGATTATGGCACCCTCTTGAATTTCTTCAGAAGGGGTGAGCCAGTGTGCTTCCACTGCATGCTGTTTTTTTTATTCTAGATCAAAGTGATGGACCCATGTTTCATCCGGAGTTACCAACTGGTAGATAAAATCAGGTTCATCCTCATAGCAAGACAAAAGATAATCTTGAAATGTCAAGCCTGGTCCGTTTCTGGTTGTCAGTCAACTGTCTGGGGACCCATCTAGCAGAAAACTTTGACATGCCATAGACATCAGTCAGAATTGCCTGAACTGAACCAAACCTTATACCCACTTCCATACAATGCTTCACAGGCCTTGCCTTCTGTCGCACATGAACAGATCGTGCACAGCTTCGGCAGTTTCATTGTTGGTGGCCTCTTTGGGCCGCTTATCATCTCCAATGCTCTCCCTTCCCCTCTTAAATTCATGAGCCCATTTTTTCACAGTGCTAGAGGTAGGGGACTCCTACCCAAGTGTATCCATGAAGACTTCATGGATTTCCTTGGGGGACATCCCTTTCTTACAGAGGTACTTAATGATGGCTCTGATTTCAACTTTCTACATTAGGTCTAAATGACACCCCCCTCTACTGATCAAAGTGTGTTTTATGTTACTTAATCTGAGTAAAACTGCGTGTAACTCGGTCAGTAATCTTCAATATGATATCAGTATTAACATATCGTGTGTAAATGTCAGTGTAGTGGCTAGAAGTATATCGGGACTAGAACTTTATGATCATACCTCATAAACGGAAAGGTTGCTTTATAAGTTTATTCCTTTTTTATAAATAAAAAACGATATTAAAATGGTGTATTAAAAATTATGGCTGTGTTTTGTCAGTAAGTTGGCGATCAATTCCACAACTCAGAATCATCTCATTGTATTATTACTATTATAAGTTCAATGACAATGTTCCACTAAAACAGGATGAAGTAAAACAGTGACACAAAATATTTTAAAGGTTTTATACATTAATTAGATACTCATTTGAACTTTTTATTCATTTAGGCCTGAATACCAATCCAGGGACCTTCAATGACAAATATATACCAGCATGAACCATAGTCAATTATTATCTGAATTAACAGCCACATATAGTTTATTATAGAAATAAAAATTCTTGTTTAATAGCATATACTGATGATGCAATAAATCATATCAACCTACTTTTAATATCCTTTTAAAAGTGAATCATCTGGGGCAGTATTTTCACAAATAAAAGTTTAACATGTCAGATAGACTCTTTTTCAACAGACTTCCAGCAACATAAAATTGAAAAATATTGATTATAAATGGCACAAATAACTTTTTTATTGGGATGTCAATTCCCTTTTAGAAACAACAAAAGAATTTCGAAAAAGCCAATCCATAAAAAGTGAAAGCAATCATAAAATTAGAATAAAAAACAATTTCTACAGACTCAGTTTATTTACTGATGTTACCATAAAAATATCTGGTGACACAGAAGTAAACAGATTGATGTTAAGCCTCTAGTGACAAAGAACAACAATATCTTTGAACACTATAAATTAAATTAAGATAGAAACTATG